CAAATATTATTCTTTAAAAAATTTGTTTCTTAATGTTTGTTTATCTCTGAGAGAGAGAGAGAGAGAGAGGGAGGAGTGTGAGCGGGGGAGGGGCAGAGAGAAGGAGACACAGAATCCGAAGCAGGCTCCAGGCTCTGAGCTGGCAGCATAGAGCCCGATGTGGGGCTCGAACTCGCAAACTATGAGATCATGACCTGAGCCAAAGTCAGACACTCAACCGACTGAGCCACCCAGGTGTTCCCATATATCGTTCTAATTAAACCTTAAAGCAACCTAGTGATATGGGTGGGATGGTTATTCCCATTTTACAGACAAGAACATTGAAGCCCTGAGATGTTATGCAACTTTCCTAAGATTGCATAGTAAGCGGCTTAGCCGAAATTGGAACCCAGAGCTCCTGACTCTAAAGCACTATTCCATGGTGGTCTGGCATGCCCTTGAACAAGGGTGATGGAGCCATTCTCCTCCACCAAATCCTTTACTGCTCACCTTCTCCTTTAGATCAAGGGCATCTGAGAACCTGTTAGTCTCGGCTGGGCCTTCCCATACATGATCAGAGATATTATGGGTCAGCGCTTGAAGGGGAAGCAGGAACGAGACAGAGGACTATGAGGCTAGGTGAGGAGCCAGAACCAGGTACTGAAGTGGCTAAAACATGGTTCCCGAATCCCTCCGGCACTGTGGGAATAGACAAGGTCAGCTGACCAGGATCCAATTCAGGGCAGGGCATGATGTCAATCAGGATAGGACCTGGTGCTCCTTCCTGGGTCCTCAGGCCCCATTCCTCTTCCTGGAGAATGCAGGGGTGAGGCCTGGCTCCCAGACTGCTCAGCCCTCAGTCCTCCATATTGTTGGTCTCAGGCAGTCTGACTCCAGCAGAGGTGAGAGTTTCTGCACTTTCTTAGGTGACTCCTTGGAAAGTTTTGCTAATTCAGAAAGGAACAGGACCACAGGACCCCTAGTGGGGACAGCCGACCATCTGCTGGAATTTGTGGCCATGGTAAAAGGGATGGGAAGCAGCCCTCTTTTAGATTTTTCCTATCTTCTTTTCCTTTCTTTTCCTTTCTCTCCATCCCTTTCTGACTCCTTCCCCCCCACCCCCTTCATATCCTGGTTTCCTACTCTGAACTTCTCTCTTTCCCTCTACCGCTATTCATGGCTGGATCCTTTGAATGGGCTACTATACTGGGGTTTCTGGCTCAGCCTGGGGTCCTCATTACTGCCCTAATCCCCCTTTGCAAAACACATATTTTGCCATGATGGATAAAAGTTAGTTGCTATCCAGTTAAAGACTTGCTCCATTGTAGACTGGTAATGAGCAGGCTTTGAAGGCTTTTTGCAGACTCAGGCGGTGTTGATGATTTAGGCTTGAAAGGTTTATTCACGCACCAGATCAGAGCTCAACAGGTATGCCAATTAGCACGGCCAACCTTCCAATTGGTTGTGACAAGATGTGTCCTTGGGACCAGAGAGTGGACCTAATTTCTGGAAGCCATATTGTTGTGCTCAGGGAGAGATGAGGCCCAGGAGGTGGGGCTGGGGCTGCATCACCTACTGCCCAGTCCCCTACCCAAACCCTCCGTTGCCTTGTTTGTCATGTTATCTTCGGGACTCTACTGGTGGGAGTGCAGAGAGGTGGTTTCACCGGGGGCTCCTGAGAAGTCCAAGGTGTCCAGGGCTGCCCCTACACCAAGAGGCCTGTCACAGCAACACTGGTGCCCCTGGAGACAGACAGACATCTCAATCCCCTTTTGTCCCCAGCTCCAGAACAGGGCTTTATATCAGCAGGTGTTCAGTATGTTTGCTGAGTGAATGAATGAAGAATGAATCAGATAGACTGAGGGTACAAGGGAAAGGCTCTGGAATGTGACTGGAGGTGTGGAAAGCCCTGGCCCCTTCATCTCTTATCTGTAGTCACCTAGGAGACGGATACTCCCCAGGCCTCCCTTCTGAGAGGCGCCGACCTTCCTGTTTTGGCAGCAGTTCCCAGGTATTCTGTCTGCACAGGCTGCAGCTGGCAAGAGAAGCCACAATGCCTGTGTGGAGGGCCCAGCCCAGGGTGGGGTCAGGTTGCGAGTTCAGTCAGACAGTCTTGGGAAGGAGGAAGGAAGGAAGGGTTGCAGCTGAGAAGAAACTGGCTTTGAAAGTTTTCCTCCTGGATTTTTTGTTTGCAAGGAGTGGAGATGCTTGGAGAGGCATTAAATGCTCGACAAAAGAGTGTAGATGAATCACTGGTAAAATCAGAGTGCAGATCTTACCTGCAGCAGGTCAGCCCGGATGGTTTTGTCTGGGAATGTCTGTGTGCTGGAAGGATGCCACAGGCTCTGTTAATAACAGCTCTGTATCCCTTAGGAAAAAAAAATTTTTTTTTTGAGAAAGCACATGTGCTTCATATTATGCATATCCACTGAGCATGTGTGTCCAGATGGCTGGGACAGGAGTCTCCTGACCCGTTCTTTCCGACTGTGCAGGTTTGAGAGAAAGACCAGGGATCTGGCAATGTTGGCTAGAAATTCCTGTAGGTCAGCTGGAATCCGGCTGGGGATTTGCTGATGTGAAACATGCATGGACAGTCAAACGCACAACAAAGGAGTCAAAGAGCAAAGCCAACTTGACCTTGAACAAAATCTTCCTTTGCTCCTGAACCACACACCAAGGAAGGCAAATTAAGGGAGATGGGAATATGGATTCCTATTTGTTAAAAAATAGACAATTGTTTTTCATTAGGCTTTTCCAGTCATAGCACATAGGATTGTGGTGACCTCATTTTTGACCAATGGCCAATGCATTCAACTGTCTGGTGGAATAATCTATTAATTGGGCACCTGCCAATTGTCTGCAATAGGAACTAGTTTAGATGTATGTTTTAAAAAGTGATAACGTTGTTATGGGCTCTGCCTAGACATGGGAATGGAAGCCCAAACAGGTCACCACCAGCACTGCACTCAGTTTTGGATGATGGGCTGTGTTTTCAGAAGCCTCACTGTCCCATGAGTGTCTTCTCTTACCCCTACACTAATTATATGGTATTGAAGGGAAAGCTGACATGTGCCTCGATTCCTTGAACTTCAGTATGTTGAATCTGGGTGATGTGCCTGATCCTGTGGGTGAGGAAACTTAGGCACAGAGAGGTTGAGTGACCTTTGCTGGGTCACACAGAGCCACGGTTGCAAGCCAGTTCTCCCAGCACCCCATCCAGTGCTGTTTGCCCTATACTCCACTGCGGCCCGAGGCCCATGTGTGACTCGTGTTTACAGCAAAGTGGTTGCTCACCCCTGTGTGCTGGCTGATGCTAGTTGGTGAAGGAGGCAGCTATGCTGTTTGACAGCCCACCTGCAAGCCAAGTTTGCCATTTTTAGGGAACCATGTCCCAGTCCCAAGTGTGAAAAGGCTTGGACAGTTTGTTGCGAAGGCCACCTGCTTCATCCAACCTGCATCTTCGAGCAGCCACTGACTAGAAGATGGTGGTAGTTGCGGAACACCAGGAGGCCATGAGGAGAAGGGCTGACCACAGTGAGTCCCCACACTCATGGATTTCTTCGATGGAAATAACTTCTTCTGTAGAAAGATAGTTGCCATGCATAGTAAGACAGTTGCTTATCTATATAATAGTAATAAAACTGAGCACTTAGTATATGTCAGGCATTGTTTCATGTGTTGTACATGTGTTAATTTATTTACTTCTTACAGTGAGAGGTAGGTACTATGATTATTCCCATTTTACAAGTGGGGAAACTGAGGCTGTGCATGGTAAGTACCTGCTGGAGGTTGCCTTGTTGGTAGAGGTAGGAATCAAACCCAGATAGTCCACCCAGAGCCCAGGCTCTCAGTCCTTAACTTTTATGCCTCCTAAGACTCTCATGATTCTAGACTTAGGCCTGCAGTCAGAGATGGGGGACCTTCTAGTTCCCAACTTAATTTCATCTGGTCTTCACGCCACTTTTTACGAGGTAATATAATTTTTGCCTGACACTGTGAAAGTGCAAAACGAAGATTCTCAAAGTTTTTACAGAAGGCATACCCACATCTCACAAAATGTATATTACTTTATAAATATAAACAGTTATGATTTTCTCTGTAAAATGAAGTACATCACTTTGCAGAGAAAGAACATGGAAGGGGAGGTCTCTAAACAGGAGGAAAAACATTAATGCTTCCAATATTTGTATTACAATTACTTTCTTAAGTTATTTCATTCTAAAACATATATTGTATATAGAAGAGTGTCTGAGATATCCATGCTGGTTAAAGAACAGCAGAATGTCATCTAGTGCCCAGGTTAGGAAATAGAAGGTTGCTCCCTCAAGGGCTCCCTGTGCTCTCCGCCAGGGGCTTCTCCTTCCTTCCTCACCAGAGTAATCTGACTTTCGGTTATTCAGGTCCCTGACTTTCCCAGGGTTGTAATATGTATCAGGTACTAAACATCTGGAGGGGTGTGTTGGCGGACAGAACTGCTGTCTGTTTTTACGTCTGAGGTCCTCATTACCATCCTTAGCCCTTGGCAGTCGGTTGAATAGAACAGTTCTATGGGGTGACGAGTAGGCTGAAGAGGTGAGGGCAGCAATTTCATGGTCAAGTTCATGGTCAAGATGAACCAAGTACATGAGATTCTGAGATAGGCTCAGGCCAGTGTTCTGATGTCAGGTTAAAAACTAGGTGTGGTGGGCTCCAGAGAGCTTGGTGATGAGGGCCCTCAGCATGTCCTTGGTCCTATTGTTCCAGTCTGGGAGGTCATCCCATATGCATGTGCAGAGTTGTTCACCCAGGATCTCTGTTCACCCTCCTTTATCTCCCCTCTCTGTTGGATCTCCATCAGAAATGTCATTCTGATTTGCTCTCTCATCTTTAAAAAAAAAAAATTCTTAAATGTTTACTTTGTTTTTGAGACAGAGAGAGAAAGACAGAGTGCGAGTGGGAGAGGGGCAGAGAGAGGGGGAGACACAGAATCTGAAGCAGGCTCCAGGCTCTGAGCTATCAGCACAGAGTCTGATGCAGGGCTCGAACTCCTGGGACTGATGCTTAACTGACTAGGCCACCCAGGTGCCCTTGCTGTCTCATCTTGATGGAGGTTATCTTCCAGTAACTTCTTGAGAAAGAGCTCATGGGAGAGAAGTGGTTTGAGACTTTTTGGTCTGAAAAATTTTTTTTCTGTGCTCACACTCGGCCCATAGTTTGGCTGGATGTCAATTTCTAGGTTACAAACTATTTTCTTTTAAACTTCTGATTGCTTGTCTCCTGGCTTCTAGTATTGCTGGTAAGCAGTCCATTCTGATTCATAATCTTTTACATGTAACTATAAACTAGTAGGAAGTTCTTTTTGTCCCCGGTTTTCTGAAATTTCAAAACGATACACGAACATGAGGTTCTCTTTATATTATGCTGGGCACTGGGTGGGCCGTTTCTGGTCTGGTAATGTATCTTTCAGTTTTGAGAAATCATCTTGAATTATTTCAGTGGTGATATTTTTCTACACTTTCTGTTCTCTCTGGTACTTTTACTATTTGGATATTGGATTTTTTTTATTACCTATTTTTATTTTCACTTTCTGAGGATTCCCTTAACTCAGTCTTGTATGCCTTCAATCAATTTTCTTATTTTGCTAAACTGTTTTTAATAATCAAGACCTTTTTCTTAGTTTTTTGATTGTTACATTTCATTTTATTGTTTTAATGACATCCCCTTTTTTTTTTTTTTTTTTTTTTTGGTTTGCTTCAAGGATGCAATACTTTCTTGTAGCCCTCAGAGTATTTGTTGATATATTTTTCAGAGTTTTCTTATCTTTGCGAAGTTTCTGTTTCCTTTGAGCTGCCCTTTTCCTTTTGTTTGGGTCTTTATCATCCCTATCAGAGGGACTTATCAGATATCTGGTCATTCTTGGCTTTCTGCTCCAGAGTAAGAGTAGGGAGAAAAGGCCGATTGGAAGTCTGAGCCCATAGCTGGGTCCGGTCAGTTCAGTCTGGGTACACTAGCTATTGGGGACCCTCTCCCAGGATCATCTTTTTAGGTGCTTCATGAAATGTTTCACTTTCTTCAAAGAGGCATCTTCCAGTCTGCCTGAAGGATGAGTCAAGCCACCCTTGTTGTGAGAGCTGAGTTGGGGGAAAGGGTTGGGGACCCCTGCTTCAGTATTCAGTAAACATGGACTCGATTTTTCTCAGCTGGGCCTGGCACTCCAGTCAAAGTCCTTGGTTTGCCGTCTCCAGAGAATGAATACGCTGCAGACTTCTGTTGGCCAGAGAGCACCAGGTGCCTGACTTCCCAGAGAGTCTGCCTTGGACTTCTGGTTTTAATGCACCTCCTCTCCCATGGCCAGACGCCTGGTGCCATCCATCTGAGACTTTGGAGAATTTTGTGGGGTAAATCAGGTTGATTTTCAGCTTCCCTTTGCTGGTTTGAGACTCCGTTTTCTCAGGTCTGATCTCAGGACCACTGGACCACCCAGCGTGTTTCAGCTTCCAAAATGTTGTTGCCGGTTTTCCCCATACTTGGGGATTTAGATACTAAAAACAAAACAAAGCAAAACAAAACAAAACAAAACAACCCTCTTTACTATGTATTAGTGGGATTTGTGGAAGGAACAAAATTAGGTACAGATATTCAGTCTGCCATCTTACCCCAAAGGTCTGGTGTTAATATTTTTAAATGACAAACTGACCATGTTTAAACATTTTTTTAAATTAGAGATTTTTTTCTCTAGAAAAAAGAAATGATCTCTCTTGCTCTGGCAGCCTCTGAGGTCTTGTCCTTAAGACTATAAACACTGTGTGGATTGTACCTCTGATTTGGGGTGCCACGTGTGAAAACCTTAATAATATTTTTTAAACATAAGGTTTCTGAGTGTTTATGAAGCTGCTTGGGATGATACTGTAGAAGAGATATGAAGAAGGCATTTTCTCTTGGTGGATTGCCACAATGTGATTTGTGACCTAGGGTCACAATAAATACTTGTGACTACTTGTTATCTCCAGTACGTGTGACCTTAGGTGGTGGTACTTCATCATCCCAGTCGGAAACTGTGAATTAGCATCGTGGAAACCCTCCCAAGTGACTGTACCTGTACGAGCTTTCCTCCCCCATTTTGGAGAGTTTGCAGCCTATAGGGAAACAAGTTTTAGGTATTGCTCTGAGGAAAATAGGACTCTGTGCTTGAAATATGTGGGAATAGTGACTAAGGAAAAAGCTTCAGTTGTCTAAAGAGGGTTCTATAATGGGCATCGGGGCTCACTAGGACTGAAAATAAACAGAGAAATAGTTTACTTAGAAATGAAACCTTAGCTTGGGGCGCCTGGGTGGCTCTGTTGGTTAAGTGTCCAACTTTGGCTCAGGTCATGATCTTGCAGTTTGTGAGTTTGAGCCCCGTATGGGACTCTGTGCTGTCAACCCAGAGCCTAGAGCTTGCTTCAGATTCTGTCTCTCTCTCTCTCTCTCTCTCTGCCCCTCCCCTGCTTGCTCTCTCTCTCTCTCTCTCTCTCACAAAAATAAGTAAACATTAAAAAAAAAAAAAAAGAAATGAAACCTTAGCTTGAAATGGGAAAATGCATTTATTCCTGAAAAGATTTTTCACTGTTCATTTTAAAGTTGTGTCTTGCTGACGCCTTGTCTTTCCCTGACTCCTTTATTGCCACTTTGTCCTTCCTTTGTCCTTTGTCTCTGTCTCTCTCCCACCCAAGCTTTATTTCCCTCTCTGTAATCAATTCCCTGCAATCAGTTAATCAAAAACCTTTTCTGAGCACTGCTATGTGCAGACCCAATGCTAGAAGTTTAGTTTATACACAGGGATAAGGTACAGTCTCTCTCCCCTAACCAAATAATCACCAGATGTGGGGTACGTGTTGTAAAGGAAAACACACTGGTAGGGGGTGGTGGAAGACCTTTACCTTGGAGTGTCAGAGAAGTCTTCAAGGAGAGGGCGACGTTTGAATGGACTGTGGAGGTTACTCGGCAGTTCATCTGGTGGCAAACTGGGCAGGGTGATCCCAAGGAAAGGGAACAGTATATATGAAGACATGGAGATGAAAAATGTATAAAAAATTTGAGAAAGCGCAGGAAGTTAGGTGTGCTGGAGCATAGGACCACGGGGTGGAGGGGGGTAGCTAGAAGGAAATAAGGTTCCTTAGGTTCAATGAAGAGCCATGTTCTGAGGAGACAGAGGGAAGCTCAGGAAACTCAGGGCTGCCGTGTAACCCCTGTGGATCCCAGTGCTCCAGAGATCTGCCTTGGTGAGAAATAGAACATTAGCTGGTCTCTCTGTTGAGATTACTGTGGTAGCTGATACCTGCTGTCCCCTGCTGCCTTCTCTCAGAGTCTCCCTGTACATTCTTGCCAAGACAACACCTGGTTGGATAGGATGTCCTGGGGAATCTCTTGGACGGTGGACTCCTTCAGGACCAGGCTGTGGAGTCACCTTTGGCTCACACTGCCATCTCTGGTTCAGAGACGTGTCCAGGAAAGCAGGGCCGTAGGTTCCAAGGAAATCTTGGGGCAGAAATAAATTTTCATGACTCATATTCTCAAAAGACATAAGTATGACAGGTATCAAGGGTTTCCTGGATTGTCCACTACAGAGTGGCCAGGATTCATCCATGGGCTAAGAGGAGCTAGCCAATTTAAAAACTGGGGCTTAAACAACAGAAGTTAATTTTCTCACAGTTCTAGAGGCTAGAAGTCCAATATTAAGGTTCCAGCTGATTTGGTTCCTGATGAAGAATGTCTTCCTGGCTTGTAGATGGTCACCTTCTTTCTGTATCCTCACATGGCCTTCCCTCATTGTGCCTGTGCGTGTGTGTGTGTGTGTGTGTGTGTGTGTGTGTACACATGTGCAGGTTGGAAGAGGATAGGGAGAGAGGAAGAGAGAGAGAGGTAGGGAGTTTGGGAAAGAGTGTATGCAGTCACTAGCTCTCTGGTGTCTCTTCTTTTTTTTATTTTTTATTAAAAAAAAATTTTTTTTTAATGTTTATTTATTTTTGAGACAGAGAGAGGCAGCATGAATGGGGGAGGGTCAGAGAGAGAGGGAGACACAGAATCGGAAGCAGGCTCCAGGCTCTGAGCCACCAGCCCAGAGCCTGATGCGGGGCTCGAACTCACTAACTGTGAGATCGTGACCTGAGGTCACGCTCAACTGACTGAGCCACCCAGGCGCCCCACTGGTGTCTCTTCTGATAAGGACACTAATCCTATCTGCTCAGTGCCCCACCCTTATGACCTTACTAACACCAATTACTTCCTTAGAGGCTCCGTCTCCAAATATAGCCATTCTAGAGCTTCAACATATGGATTGGGGGGGGGAGGGGGAGAGGGTGTGGGTTAGGTGGGGATGCAAGCATTCAGTCCATAATAGATAGTATACAATTATAGTGTTAATTTATTTTTATTAAGAATAACATATTTAATTTTAAAATATGAAGTCTAAAGTTTATTTCCTTATAGCCTTTTTTCTATCCCCCTTTTTGTTACATAATTGGGCTCACACCATATATAGTATTTTTTAAAGTTAAAATTAATGTAGCAACATTCAGAAGCCCCAGATGGAATGTGATATAAACATAGGCTTGATGACATGTCTTATCTTGAGGATTTTCTTAGTCCTTCTAGTTAGAAAAGCAAACAGATAAACAAACAAAATAACTAGGAATAACTTTAGAACTCCACAGGAGGTTTAAAGATACAGAAATCCTAAACATGGAGCAAGGTCAGTGGGTTTTTCCTTTGAGTAGGGAAGTGACAGACTCCCAGTGGCTCTTTGAGAGCCCTGCCTGGGGTTAGTGTGGGTGCACAGGGGGAGAGCCTAAAGGCAGGGGACTGGGCCTCAAGCGTCCAGCTTACACTGCCAGGAGCCGTGGGGTAGAGAGGAAGACCAGATGCAATTTGGGAAAACAGCTTTGTGATCTCATTCTCTTGTTTCTAAATACCACTTCATTGTTTCCATCCCCTCCCTCCACCCCCCACCCCTCACTCTCTGTACACTCCACCACCACCACCACCATCAGGAACACACACTCCTTAAACACAAGCAAATAAAATTTATTTTAACCACGAGAGCCATGATTGTTTTGTTTCTTGTTAGTCTATGATCCAAAATAATAAGAAAATGCCCCAGATTCTGCTGTAAGTATTTGCTTTACCCCACACCACTGGCTGTGTGAATGCACGCACACATAAAAGCCACGCGGTGACTGCGCTGCTAACCTGGCCACCTGAGATGCTTTGTAGAAAGCACCCGGCCGCAGCGCCCGGCACCCGAACCCACGCACTTGACTTCCTCCCCTGAGTGTTGACCTGCCCCATCCACGAATCAGTGACTAATGCTTTCTCCGAACTGAGCTCATTTGTGCGGTTTCACGTGCGTGGTGTTTTGAGTCTCTCTCACACACATCCTCTCCTGGTGGATGGTAGGCTCCCTAATCAGGCACCAGGCGAGAAACCTGGGCGGGGCTGGGGTCCCTGCTTGCCCCCAGGCCCACATTAGTGCTCTAGATGGCTATCTTTCGCATGTGCAAATAAGGTCTGCCTCACAAGTCTGCAGCCCAGAACATAGTCTCTTTCACCCTGAACACTGGATCTAGAGATGTGAAGGGAAAAACTTCCTGGGCTACTCCAAGAATTGATGTTACTTTTCTGAAGAAGTGAAAATACTGCATTATGAAGGTATTTTGTTTTTGTTTTTGTTTTTTTGCAGGAGAAAACCTAATGATGAAGTGGTTCCCAAACTGTTACCCCACTCTTACTACTTCCAAACTTGTTTCTAATAGGCCATCAGATTTTAATGTCGCATGTCTATATCAGTTGGTACATTACAAATCTCATACCTGTATCCTTGCCTGACTTTCTTTACTGAATGGCCCAGAAACAATGAATACTTTTGGAAACACTAAGTATATTTCTGCTTGTAAGTAGAGAAAAAAAAAAAATAAAGTGAAATAATTTATTAAGAGACAAAAAGTAGTGGGTCAAACCGCTATTCAAGATTTCTTGAATATAAAATCTGAAGAGAGCATAGTGACCAAGGAAGGTCATAGTAGCTAATGTTTATCAAATACTCCCCACGTGCCGGCACTCTACTGGGCATCATCTATCTCAATTTATCCTTACGGTGTCTGTGGGGTCAATGTGTTGTTATTGTCCTTGCCGTAAAGATAAGAAAATTGAGGTTCAGAGAGGTTGTCTTCCTCCTGACCACGCAGCTGGTAAGCCATGAAGCCGGAGTCTGACCCTGAGGGTCCATGTCCTTCTTAACCCTCAAACTGATGCTGCTCCTAGCCATGCTGTTGACTGAATTGTTAAATAAGCAGCACACTTACAGCGTGATGTTTAAAATGCACCTGGGAAGTTGTTCAGTAGTCGCTGCAACCATGGTTGCAGCGTTTGGCACTGGGAGATCTCTGGCCAGGGTCCTCTCAACCACTGCCTGTGCACTCTGGGCCAGGACCCTACCTCAGTTGCCTCCTAAAAGAACTTGATTTTAGATTTCATCATTCGTTAGAACTCAGCAGGCTGTGGTCCCTTTCCGAACCAACCCCTCATCTACTGGTATGCATGGTAGGTGTCACGGAAGGACACTGGCAAGAGCAGCAGGCTCCACTAGCGATTGAGGAGGGCCATGTACCTTCTGTTTCCTCACCTGTAAGACAGGGGGCTTCTTTCACTCCCCAGGTTGCTCCTTCCGGTCATACCCATCTCAGAACTCAACAGAACTTTGTATGATGCTGCCTGCCAGCACGTGAAACATAGCCTAAGTGAAAAAGTACAAGAACACGCTAAAAGACAGAGAGTAGAATCACAACTGGGCCCTTCTTCTATGTCTGCAAAAATAACAAAACAAAGCATCAGAAATAGCAGGGGCGCCTGGGTGGCTCAGTTGGTTGAGCGTCTGACTTCAGTTTAGGTCATGATCTCGCAGTTTGTGAGTTCGAGCCCCGCGTCGGGCTCTGTGCTGACAGCTCGGAGCCTGGAGCCTGCTTTGGATTCTGTGTTTCCTCCTCTGTCTGTCTCTCCCTCCCATGCTCATGCTCTCTCTGTGTCTGTCAATAATAAATGAAGGTTAAAACATTTTTTTTTAATTTATAAAAAAAAACAAAAGAAATAGCAGAAGTGCTGGTGGAGGCCAAGAGAGTTTGGCAGGTAGTTGCAGAAAGTGCTGAGGGATGCAGAGCTCAGCAGAGAGTACAGAGGTCACTCTTTCAGGCTGGAAGAGCCCCAAGGACAGGAAGCGCACCTTACCCTGTTTTCTATCCAGCACCTTAGAAAGGACCTGTCACATGGCTGGCTGTCAGTTACGCTTTGCTGAGTGACTGACTGGGAAAGGAACCAGAAGAGATCAGGCTCCAATAAGGAGATGGACATAGTTCTAGAGAACACAAATCAGAGCAGCTTGTGGAAGTGTGATACCAGTTGTAGAGAATGAAGCCGATCAAACAGATTGTCAGAGCACAGACTCCAGACAAGTGGAATGGAAGGGTGGAAGGAGCGCCTGCCTGGGGGGCCAGCACACTGCACACTTACTCCATTTGGCCTCCCTCTGTCTTCCTTCCATCCACCCACCAGGCAGTAGCTATGGAAGCTATTGGGTGACAGGAGTCAGGCTCCAGCATACAGTGGAGAATAAAATAGGTATGGTCCCTACCTCATGAACTATGGAGATGATTAGGGAAGGTCATTGTTAATGGCAATAATATGTGCTTTTATGTATTTATTTATTATTACCATTTTTAATGTTTACTTATTTTTGAGAAAGAGAAAGCGCGAGCTGGGGAGGGGCAGAGAGAGAGGGGGACAGAGGATCTGAGGCAGGCTCTGTGCTGTAGCGCAGAGCCCGATGTGGGGTTGGAACTCAGGAACCACGAGATCATGACCTGAGCTGAAGTTGGATACTTAACCGACTGAGCCACCCAGGTGCCCCTGTGTTTTTATGATTAGTGCTACCAGAACCCAGGCTTCTTACAAGCTATGCGACGGCAGGCAAGTCACTGAAACCCTCTGAGTTTGCTCGTCTGAAAAATGGAAATAAATGCCTCCCTGGAAGGGCATTTCTTAAGAATTAGAAATAATATTATATGTCAATAGTGGCTGTGGTTTTCTTTGAGTTTATGTATGTGTGTATATGGGGGAGGGTTCTCTCCCCACCCACCTCCCTGCTGCTTTCAAGAAAATAAGCACTTCCTGAATATTATGGAGAACAACATTTTGGTTTTATTGTTTTGATGATGATTTATTCTGTTAAATTTTTTCCTGCTCCTCACAAGCTGACAGAAAATGCTAGATATCGTAAGGTACAACACCTTAAAATCCTGATGCCAAAAATCATTAGAAACATTCAAAAGTAAATAAAATAGTAAATTCAAGCAGGAAATTGATAATTGTTGTTCCATTGAGGACCATTTTAAATTAAACATGCCAGATGTGATCATTATAAGAATAGTTCTCTGGGGATACCTGGGTGGCTCAGTCTTGTTAAACGTCCAACTTCGGCTCAGGTCATGATCTTGTAGTTCTTAGGTTCAAGCCCCGCGCACGGCTCTGTGCTGACAGCCCAGAGCCTAGAGCCTGCCTCAGATTCTGTGTCTCCCTCTCTCTGCCCCGCCCCTCCCGCCCCCTTCGTGCTCTGTCTCTTTCTTTCTTAAAAAAATAAATAAACATTAAAAAAAAAAAAAAGGGAATAGTTCTCTGTATGGTGCAGTCTTAAGTTCCTAAAGTCATAAAGAAACTTCAGTTATGGTCTAAAATAAACAATAGCAACCAAACAAACCCTATCCATTTTTCCATTTTTTTCTCCAAGTTCTATTTGAAGTCAGAGGAAAATCACTTTTTGCTTTCTTGCACTGCAGTAACTCGGGTGGAAGCCATTTTTCAGACCCTTAAATGTGCTCACAGAATGTTGGGAAGGAGGCACGAAAGACTGGGTTCCAGTCCTGGCCCTGTCACTCCCTCGCTCTGTGAACTCTGTCTGTGCTTCAGTTTCCTCATCTGGAAAAAAGAGAATAATGATACCTGCCTCACAGCTTGCTTCAGGGTTAAATGAGGTCATAAACCTTGTTTTCTCAATTTTAAAACACCATCAAGTTTGAGACACACTAAATTTTCAGGTGGAAAAAACCATCACCTTAAGTCTACATGTTGATTGTAAGACATCCAAGTTTCAGGAAATCAAAATGAAAAGAAAAAATCAGAGTCAAATTGAGGAAATACAGTAAAAAGGAGTACCTGGCCATTAGGGGGATTCTAGACAAGGGTGGGGCTGTCTCACTGCCACGATGTCCTGTCCGAGGGTGGAGTAGCTGCAGCGTGTTGTGCGGGGACCTCCCTGTCCAGCAGTCTGAAACGGGGCCGTCTTTGCAGCATTTCTCTGGATGCCTCCTCCCAACCCCCAATCACATGCCAAGCCTGGTGTGGATCGGTTTGGACACATGATGGTTTCCTTCCTGTGTGGAAGTTCCACTTTGTAAAGATCAGAAAATGCTTCAGCATTGTCTTCTGGACCAAAGAGGATACTCTCTCCCTGTATGAGTTTCTTTGACACAGATCTAGTGCCTCCCAGCCATTTTCATGTCACTGCACAGCCAGAAAATGATAATATTTGTATAGTACTCCAGGGTAAGGGAGGGACAGTCAGGCCAAGAGGCCAAAATCTTCACCATCTGGAACCCATTCCGGGCATTTAGCATGGCCCACCTCCTCTAGTTGGTTTCCCCCTGAAAAAGAAGGTGGAGGGGGAGGAGGAAAAGAAAAAGAGACAAGAAGGAAGCCCTGGTAATGTTCACTGTTCTTTGCTGGAGAATTTTGAGGGCATTTTAGTGTTTCAAAGCATTTTTGCAATAATTGTCTTGTATAATGGTCTTGTATCTTGATCAACATACCCTTGGGCCTATGGATGCCATAAACAAGAAAGTTTCCATACCTGTATGTGTGTCAGAACAACTAGGGAATCTTGTTACTGGTATAAATGTATATTTCCTAGTAGCCCGAGGCCTGAGAATCTGAATTGTAAGAAGTATACGCCAGGTGACTCTTCATGTGCCCACAGATCTAGGAACCACTGCCCTAAGGCCCTTGGAGAGTTTCACCAGGCACTATACTTTTTATGTCCTGCCTTATTCATATCCTTTCTTACCCTGTAAAGGTAGCCTTTCTGATGCAGTGGTCAAAACCTAGTCACATAGTAAGTTCCCTTGCATATGTGCTTAGTCCTGCCCCTGGTATATGAGGACACTACAATGAGCAGGGAATCTGCTTATCTGCTGGCCCAGAAACCCATCCTCCCAGGCTTGCAATTTTTAAAGAACAGTGTGTCAGTTTGGTTTGGGGACTGCTTGCATCGAATCACCTAGGAGCTCATTAGAAAAACACTCTGAATCAGACTATCAAATTTTGAACTAATAATCTGCATTTTAAATCAGCACAAGGGTAATTTTTTCTTTAACGTTTATTTATTTTTGAGACAGAGAGAGACAGAGTATGAATGGGGGAGGGTCAGAGAGAGGGAGACACAGAATCCGAAACAGGCTCCAGGCTCTGAGCTGTCAGCACAGAGCCTGACGCGGGGCTCGAACTCACAGACCGCGAGATCATGACCTGAGTCGAAGTCGGACGCCTAACTCACTGAGCCACCCAGGCGCCCCAGCACAAGGGTAATTTTTAATGCACGTTCAGATTTGGGACCTACTGCCTGTGGGTAATTTAATAATCCCATTGATCTCTAAAAGGTTAATTTCCAGGTAAATAAAGAGATTGTTACCTCCATCAAAGGCAGACCTTTTAACCATCCAAACACACAGCTAGCCCCTTCAAGTAACCAGCCTCCTTGCTTCTAGTACCATTATTGGGGTGGTAACCAGGGAAGGATGTTAAGGTCCAAGGAGCCAATGGTATTCTTAAAAGCTTGATATGATGGCTTGTATACGCATAAGATTCAACACATCCTGCCCTTGTTTGAGTTTAATCTGGCAGTTGGGATGTTTTCTCTCTGGCTGTTACGGGTCTCCCAATCAAAGTGGACCTTTCAGAGGAAGCAGTTGTAACTTAGGGTCCACAAGCCCCTGAAATTGCATGCAAAATCTTATATAAAAAATATATTTTTCTAGGAGAGGGTCCAGAACTAGTGCCAGATTCTTAAAGGCATGGTTAGCCCAGAAAGGGGAAAGATTAAGGATTCAAACAGAGGAATTTTTAACGGTTAGAACTGGGGAGAATTGTAAACAAAGGCTCATGTCCTGGTAAGGATTTCTGAACTTGAGCACTCCGAGCCAACAACAAACCGTGACCTTCAGCATTTCTCAAAACTTACCTAGTTTGTCTCCTCGTTGCTTCCTGCCTCACTCCTTCTTTTAGGCTTGTATCTCTCTGGTTTTCTTCCCCAGTGTTCTTTTTTCCTTCTTGAACTCTCTGCCCTGTCTGGATCTTGTGCCATCCCTCCTCCTGTCCATTCCTTCTCTCCTCCTCTCCCTTGCTGCCCTAATTAGGAAGAAAGCATATGCTCTTTTATTTGTTCTACCTATAGAATAACATTTCATGCTGGTGGTTCTTGGTTTTAAAACTAGATGAATTGAATACTTAAGATTTCTTTGGAAGGGGGAGAAAATTATACCTTAGGTACCCGAATTCCTGGCTTTTTGGATCCGGCCTTTGATATATTGAAGGTTTTCTGTGGGCAGAAGTACTTACTCATCCTTGGCTGGAGGAGGGCAGGAGCAGACATGCCGCAGGCCTTCCTCTTGTTCTGAGTTGAAGAGTGATTGACCAGAATCCTGGGTACTCCCGCCCAGCTCCCACTAGTGATTATTTTCATTTGTTGGCTTTGACTGTGGAAGGCAGAGAAGCAACCTTTAGACTGAGGAGGCCATGGGAACACAGTCAAGGCTGCAGAAGGAAGTGAGAGCTAGCACTGTCCAGCTCTACCCTTGTGTCTGCTCTGGCTCTGTGAGCAGGAGGGGGTTTGGCCTGCTGGGCTCCCTGGCCAGTTCTGGGGATAAATGCCTGAAGCATGAAATCACTGGCTTGGGAGGGCTCTTTCACACTGACGGGCCTGCCTGCCTCAACCCTGAACAGCTGGGAGTTCCAAGGAAGTGGAGGGTGACACCCTGAGGGATGGGCTAGTATGTGTGTCCTGCCTGTGCCCCCAGCTCCTCTCCCTGCACACGGAAGTGTCCTCTGGCTGTGGGGAGTGGGCAGAATACCCTGCGTGGTTCTGTAGAAGAGCTAATAATGGCACTTCCTAGCTCAGGCATTTGGGGGGCATCTGCTGGATTGCGGTGGGTCTGTGAGAGACAAAGTCAGGGAGACGTGCCCTCATGTCTCTCACATTCGGGTGGGGAATGAGGCGACCACCTATATAGACACAGAACCGGACAGACGGTCCCAGGCTGAGGGTAGGTGGTGCAGAGAGGACCAGCTGAGAGCCGGGGTCTGTGGCTGGGCCTGGCTTTGTGGCCTGGGGAGCCTCTGAACGCTGGCTGGAGGGGAGTGTGGGGTTTGCCACGGGAGCAGTTGGCAGGAAGGTGCTGCCTCCTGGGGGCTGGCAGTAGATGAAGGCCTAAATCAGACCTCTGAAGATTATAGAATGGGGCCCTGTGTGAGCCTCCCCTTTACCCTCACTCTGGCCCCAGCGAGGCCAGTGCTAGAAGTTGCTGAGCTTGTGGCAGAAGTGGCCCCAGGCCTGCTTACCATCTAATTTATTTGTCACTCCAGTCACAGATCTTAACGCTCACTGGGGGCTGGGCCATGCGTGTTCATCTTCAGAGACTGTTTCCGAAGACATAGTGAGCCCTCTGGCACGGCGTTGGCCCAACCCCAGCACACAGGTGCTCGGGCCAGCACCGGGCAATGGAACAGCCCCGGGAATTCATTGCACTTGCCATTGGATTTCTAGGCCCTGTAGAGAGTTGACAAGTGGCTGTAACTGCTGGCCCAATTTGAAACACCGCATCATACTTACAACAGTTGTCAGAGCCGTGGCTGTCGAATCAGACCCGGTGTTCAGAGTCCAGCTAGCCTATAATTTGTGGCATGGACTTTCTGACTGCCTGCCTCATTTCTGAAGAGCAGGTCACAATGCCTACCTTGCTGGATTGTCAAAGCATAAAATACGATAACGTACGAGTGTCGTAGCTGGCGCAAAGTGGTAAGAGGTGTCCGGTGTGGTAGCTGGAACCAAGTGGGTGCTCAATACGTTATTATCACTATCATTGTTTTTCCTGGACACGTATGTCCCTGGGGGTCCCTGGGTTATATTCCACGACTCCAAGCTTCTCTAGCTTCAAGATCTGGGGATCTTGTCAAAATGAAGATTCTGATTCTGTAGGGGTGGGGGTGGGGAGGGGAGAGGAGAGAGCTGAGATTCTGCATTTGTAACAGGCTCCAACCTAGTCCTGCCTAGAGGAGTGTCCTCTTTCCTCCCTTGTCTTTGCTCTCTGCCCTGTCGTGCCTCCCCTGCCCCCCAGGTCAGCCGGTCATCAGAACACTTCCTGGGCTCTACTGAAAAATACTCTCAGGCAACAGGTGTGAGCTGGGACCGGCCCAGGCAGGATATATGGTTGCCCCTTCCCACTGAGCACCCCCAGTTGTTGCATCCATCTGGGGATGAGGAGAGGATCCTGAGAGAGGAGGGAACTTGTCCCTGATTTTGAGGAGCTCCTAATCTGTTGGGGGGACTGTATGAACACACCTTACTGTCCCTGCAGAAAGGCATGCAAAGGCTTACAAAGGAACACGCAGACCAAGAAACCTGCCATCAAGGAACACACTCAAACCAAACTGCATCCTCTCTGGGGCTTCAGCAACCTGGGAGGTGGCAGGTGCCCTGCCCTGCTTGCCCTTCTCAGAGACAGAAGACTGAGGGGCTGAGAGGAGAGCATCCCTGGCAGCCGCCCTGGAGGGAGGTGTGTACACAGCATGGGCACTAGCCCAGGGCAGCCCTGGGTAAAGGCATATCGATTTAAGGCCAGTTCTCATTAAGTGGGACCTGTGTCAACTGCTCCCAGGCCTGGGGTCATAGTGACTGTGAGGTTCTCGAAAGTGGGATCATGTGCTAAAAGCAAAGCTGGGATAACAGTGCCCTTGACTTTACTGTAGTTTTGGGTGGGAGCTGGATATGGGTGTTATTGAGAAACTGCATTCTGTGCATCTTGACAGCTTTGCCTCAAATCCCCGCCCCCATCCCCCATCCTACTCCCCACCGCTGGTGAATAAAACTCCATAGGTTCTTGATGTCAGCAAAGGGAGCCCTGATTTCTGCCGAAGCTCCTGAGAATATGGTGCTTTCTCCTAAAATCTGCCCACAGGAGTGGCGATGAGATGGCTCACTGAGTGGCTCCACTCAGCAAGAGCTGAGCTCCCATACCTTTGCCAGAGGCGTCCACCGCTAGGAATAGTTGTTTGTACCTGGGGCTTTGCCCCTCACTTTCTGAAAAGCTGCAGCCAGGAAGCTCCCTTTATTCTCTATTTCTGCATCTGCAAAGCAGAGAGGAGCCCAGGCCAGAAACAGGGATACAATGATGGTCCCTGCAGGGGGCACTGTGGAAACAAGTGACTTGTTTATGTTTTATTGAGGTTAAACATATGTGACATAAAATTTGCCATTTCAACCATTTTTTAAATGTACAATCCAGTGGCATTTATTACATTCCTCACGTTGTGTAACCATGATGACTTTCTGCTTCTAAGAAACTATGTCTATTAAGCAATAACTACCCATCCCTCCCCCACAGCCCCTGGTGACCTCTATTCTATTTTCTGTCTTTATGAATTTGCCTGTTCTAGGTGTTTCATGTAACTGGAACCTTACCATATTTGTCCTTTTGTATTTTTTTCACTTAGCATAATGTTTTTGAGGTTCACCCATGTCGCAGTATGTGTCAGTATTTCATTCCTTTGTATGGTTGAATAATATTATGTTGTATGGACATACCACATTCTGTTTATCCATTCATCTGTTGGTGAGCATTTGGGTTGTTTCCATTGTTAATTATTAATATTTTATGGGTTTTGTATGTTTCCTGGGTCTAGACACTGGAGACACACCAGGAAATAAGACAGCATGGTTCTTGCCCCCACCTGGTAGGTAGCCAGGCAGGGACAACAGAGAGACGAGTGATGTCACAGGACCTGTGAGGACCTACCGGGCACACTGGATGGGGGCTTGGCCACACTGGGTTCTGGTCTTGCCTGACCAGCCGTTAACTGTGCGGGGTTCTTTTTCAGGCCTCAGTCTTCCCATCTGTAAAATGGATTTGAGGCTAAAGGCCTCTGTGGCACTATCATTTCATGGTCCTATGATGCTGAATCTTCTGCTATGGAATTCTAAGAGAACATTTGCTTCCCTTCTTTTTTGGGTAGGGCGTGTGGTGGGAAAGAGGTACCTATGGCTGTAGAAGTGGGGACAGGAAGGGGAGTCTGGGAATTTGAGTATTTCCAGCAGAGTGCCTGGCAGGAGGGTGGGCTTGCTGACACAACTGTGATTGTCTTGCTGACAACCCCCTGCGGGAGGCCACTTAACCTCTTACCCCCCACCCCCCTTCTTAGTTGCCTGCCCCGAGAGGGTGTCCAGGCAAGACTAGGGAAGGTCAGAACTCTTGACGGCCAAAGGGGCTAGAGTTGTGTAGGAACAGCCCATTTGGGGGGACTACCAGTTGGGTTAGGATTATTTCGGGGTCTCTGGGCCTGGAGTTTAAGCAGGATGGGACTTGGGATGTCAGAGGCCAGGACGGCCAGAAGGAGTAAGTGGTGGCTGGGTGGAACCCATAGCCAGGGTGGAGATTTCCTGTCAAAACAGCCACTTATCCTGGCGGGAGAGTGCATTCCTTTACCCTAGGAGATAAGAAGGCCCGATTTTCCTCTCAGGGTTCCTTTGAGCTGCGAGCAGCCACTGGAGACTCTGTAGCCCCCTCAGTCGGGGCCCCAGCCTGACCAGCTCATGCTCCTGGCTCCCCTCCCAGGCTCCCTGCATCCTTGAGTGAGCACTGACCCCAGCAGTGGCAGCCAAGGGTTGAATCTAGCCTCCTCTGTGCTTTGATTTCTTTACCTGAAAAATGCACCTATCTTGTAGGATCGTTCTGAGCTAATATACTTAAAGGGCTTAGAATAGTGACTGGGATAAAGCCTTACTCAGGGTGTGTGGCAATTGCTAGTCTTATCCCAAGATACCTCTTTGTTTCCTGGGCCCAGGAAAAGTTCCCACCAAAGTCAGGCCCTTTCATGTTCTGGGGCATTTGACAGTTGTTTTCTCTGTAGGCATCTCCAGGCAAAAATTTCTTATCTCAGCTGGCTGACCCCAAGGCAAGAAAAGATTCATTAAGCATTTAAAATAGAGTCCATTTCAGCAGACTGAACAATTTCTTGGGTATTAGAAATCATTCTTTGTCAAGACAAGGTTCTTCCTCCCTTTCACAAGTGAGGACTCCTTTGCTCAGAAAGAATCTCTGAACAGTCCATCCTAGATTGTAGGGATTGTAAGGGTTGGCAGGAGCCTCTCTTGTTATGGGAAACTTTCAGCCACCCCCTTGAAGAGGGCACCCCTAACCTCTCCCCGCAGACCCTTCATCCCTTGGGTTGCCCAGCCTTGGGGGCTTTCCGGCACTGTTCCCGCCAGCCAGTTGTCCTTCAGGGCGGAGGCCATCCCCAGGGGCCTCGAGGCTCCAGACTGCTCCTCCCTGTGCCCTCTGGGCAGGCACAGCCCCACTTCAGACTTCCCTTCTGGCCACTGCTGGAATGCCCAGCCCTCCCTCTGTGTATTTTCTCTCTGGATGGGGGCCTGGGAGCTGGAAACCCTGCTCACATCCTCTCCCCACCCTCTCTTTGGAGGACCAAACTCCAAAGAGGCCAAAGCCAGAGAGGAGACTGTGGTGTGGGGAAGGCTAGCAGCTCGCCGCCCAGAACTCCCGTGGGGAAGGAAAGCTGTGCTGTGGGTGGGCATCTTGGGAGCCT